CTCATGCAGCCTGCCTTTGTTTTGTAGCTTTTGGGGCTGGCTGCTTGCCTCTCTCTCCTCTGCTTCAGATAATCAGAGAGAGCAGGTGATCAGCTTTTATCCCAAATATTTATACCTGACTCTCACAGTCAGTCTCTGCCAGATAGTCTCATTGCCTGAAGGTGAAATTTCCTCCAGCTGCCACGGCTCCACAGTAGATCTCTATCCAGGGTAGGAGAGGAGCTCCAGCCTTACAGACGTCATTACGTGACTGAATGGGTGATGCTAGTTAAATGAGGACTACAGCCTTCAGGAAAAGAGCTGAAGGTTGTGCTGACACCCCTCCTCTTTTGCTAGAGTCTCTACCTTGATCCTTCCTACCAGTGGCTGTGGCTCCACCTCTAATCACCGCTCCACTCTGACTCTCAGGTCGTCTAAATTAGCCTCGGGCTAAAAAGGATCTACGCCCCATACTACAAACATCTTTTCTATACAAACTTTCAGAATTTCTTTTCTGCGACAAAAACAGGATTGCAGCATAACAGCCATTTTTAACTGGAGTTCAAAATGGTTTTAATAAAGCAGAGTTGGAAAGTCGCAGGCCTCAGAGAGCAGATGCTGTTAATAGAGAAGACTTAATGGGAAGAAGAATTAGGTATAGTCATTTCAGAAGAGATGTGGGCTAGAGCTCTTAACCTTGTGAACGGAACTTTTTATGTACGTCTCAATCTGATTCAGTTTAAAATTCTCGACCGTACTCACTATAGCAAAGTCAGGCTTGCCAAAATATATCCTGAAATAGATGGAACGTGTAATCGCTGTAGAGCCACCAACGCAGACTTAGCTCATATATTTTGGTCGTGCTCTAAACTGAAAGAGTTTTGGAATTCAGTATTTGGGATTTTAAACGATGCGTTTGGCCTACATCTAAAACCTGGTCCTGTAATGGCTATTTTTGGGGTTGACGCTGCGATTTCTAGAAAGGAAAATGTTATTGCTTTCGCAACTCTGATCGCTCGAAGGAGAATACTTCTGGAACAGGAAAGGCATCAATGTGGCTCTCAGATATGATGATGTTCCTAAAGAATTGAAAAAGTGAAATACTTTCTGAAAGTATGGGACCCTCTATTGGGTTATTTTGACAAACGTACAAAACTCCCTTCTCGCTAGTAAACAAGTCTCAATGTAAAGTGTTTTCATTTTGGTATAATACCCCCCCTTTTTTTTGTGTTGTTTTGTTTTGTTCTCCCAAATAAAAATGTTTTTTTTCTGCCGGCACAGGGGTGTTTGGGGTTGGATGGGGTTTTCAAAATATAAAAAATGTTTAAATGCTGTGTGGTACATGGTCAAAAGAATTGTAACAACTGCAAAACACTACGATTTGAATGGCATTGTACATCTGTTTTAACAACAATAAAAATATGATTAAAAAAAATAGAGAAGACTTGGTTCAGTGGCTTGTTAGCTGAAGGGAAGAGATGGAAATTCCTCTGCTATGATTCAGTTGTCTAAATATGCTCCCTGCTCTTCGTCATCACACACCCATCCACTCCTTGTGCAGAGTCACACTCCCTGTGCACCTCCACACAGTGCACCTCTTCATCTGGACGCTCCCTGCAGCTCGCATTATCCAAACTGTGCGCAGGGGGGGGGGGTTGTTATTGGCTCGTTGGTTCTTAGGATCTCTATTGACACTAAAAAGGACCTGATTCTCTTTACTCTGACTTTCCAAAAAAGTTAAAAGCAATCCTCTGGACTTTGTTTCCAAGTTTGAAGACGTTTCTCTTCCCATCCAGGAAGCTTTTTCAATTCAAAATGTTTGGAATAGCGTTGTTTTTGTTTTGAAAACATTCAAATTGAAACGGACGGAACGGGGGTCGTTTGGCTTCGTATGGGGCATTGCAGGCTAACAAAGAACCCAAATGACCCCCTTCCAAAGGGCGGGACCCGTTCGTCCATTTCTATTTGCATGTTTTCCAAACTCTCCAAAACAAGGCTTTAATGGGCTACTGTAGAAAACCTGGAACTCAACGCTATTTCTAACATTTTGATCAAAAAAGCGAGTTGATGTGTCTGTGTTCAGTCCCTGCTCATTTGATCTATTGCTACCAGTTTGCTGAAAACTCATCCTATTGGTAAACCCAGCTGCTCTCCGGCTCTACGGAGGCCTCAGGTGTTAGAGAACACAAGTAAACTATGTTCCATTTCTTCCATGTAAAGATTGGCTACAATTGGTGAGACTGGAGATAAAATGTAAAAAGGATCCCTGAACTTGAAATAGGTGGAAAGGCAAAGGTCCAGTCCTGTTGTTTAGGTCACTGTCTTGTTGAAGACGGTTCCTGACTGTTTCCACTTTGAATTGACTGCAGACTTTGCCAAATTTTGACTTGGTCCCTCCTCTGGTTCCTGCATGCGGTGACATTGGGAAGGAACCAGGAAGAAGCCAACAACAGAACCAGAACCAGGCTGATGTGAGGATGAGAGACAGTAGAGAGGAGCGGATCTAGCAGCTTCTTCCATGTACTCATCCCTGAGGGAAAATAAATGCTGACAGGATTTATGAGAAGAGAAAAAGGAGGAGGGCTCCTGATTGGGACACTGCTTCCTGCAGCAGTCAGGAGATCATGAGGATCTGCTTTCTATTTTTGACAAGAAAGGCCTTTTTTAAAAGCAGCAATAATGAATAAAAGCTGCTAGTTAGGTGTTATTGTGACTGATTAATAGACACAGAGAGCAGAGGTTTGAAAGCTCTGCAGCTAGTTTAGAAAGTAGTATTTGTATTTTTTAACTTTGATGGAAGGTTGCATCAAAATTCGGATCTGAGTTTGAATTTCTTTCCAGCTTTTGCCTCAAAGTTCCTGTGCAGAACATAATCACTTAGAAGAGCTTTCCTGTTCAAAGAGTAACTCTGAGGGCCAACGGCAGCTGGATAAACTGTCACTCCGATAGCTAGTCTGCATTCTGCACCAATCTAACTTTACCTTTTTAAAAGGAGCGCTTTCATAACACAAACTTCAGACCATGACGTCCCAAACAGCCGAGCACTTTTCCTGTGAACAACTCTAAAAATCTCCGTTCTTGATAAAACTCTCCAGTCAGAGGATAAGACTCACCCCCCCATGTCGGATAATCTAGAGTATTTTAATCCTGAGCCGGTTTGAACCAATCTGAGCTCAGAGGAGAGAAGAAACTCATGAAATTAGAAGCAGAGCAGCGAGCACAGTTATCCATGATGGATTCCTGGTTTTCTGGCAGCCGAACGTGAACTCCATGTTTTGAGTTAGTGAGGAGCCCGAAGCAACAGTAGGGGCGGAGCCTAACTCACCACAGAACCAAACTCTTGCAAAACCCCCAAATGTTTATAGTTTTCTGCCTGTTTGAAACAGATTGCATTGGAAAGTAGTGAAGCCACAGCTCTGCGGTTTGGCAACAGATTTATGATGCCGACGGATTGAGAAACATCACTGAATGAAATACTGTGGAATGAGGAGCTGAAGCTCCGCCCTGTTCATCTGTCTCCTGCTGCCATGTCAACATAACAGCAACGTCTCTGCATCAGTCACTCTGTTACCTGACCTGAAATGCACTGCTGGAGGGGGGCGGTGGTCTGAGTCAGGGTGGAAAATCTGAATGTTCTCGCACCACAGTTAGAAAAAACACACACAATGAACTCATAGTCTAAAAAAGGTCTGGGCTTCCCTCACACGCTTTTCTCTCCTTCTCAAATAAAGAAAACGGCTTTCATTTCTCCCCTCAGTGTGTTTCATTCCTGGTGAATCGCACTTTGCACAAGCTTCAGGGTTATGTGCACGAGTAGGTGCCTGAGAGCACGCCCATCACACTCATATCTGTGCTTGGTACGCTGTCTGAGGATACAGAGTGGTCAGGCTCCCAGTGGTTTGGACTGAATCAGAATCGGACGGAGGGCCAACATGGCCGCCAGCTACACGCCGATGCCGTGGATTCGCTCCATTGTTGGTTCAAGTCAACAACATGTTTTAGAAATGAAAAAATAAATACATTTAAATCTGAAAGAAATGTAATTAAATTAAGATTGTGATTTTCTCTGTTTAGTTTTTTATGTTAAATTTAAAAAAAAATATTGATTTTTTTTTCAGTTTAAATATTTTATGTCTTTATATATATATATATATATATATATATATATATATATATATATATATATATATATATATATATATATATATACGTGTGTGTGTGTGTGTTTTATCAAATTTCTGTTCTTGGCATAAAGTTTTTATTCTGCATTTATTCTGCATTCTCTTCAAATCACGTTTCCCTTTCCCTCTGATGATTTTAGAAAGAACATTTCTGATTGAGCTGGTAAACACAGTTTAAAAGCAAAAAAATGCTATTCATAAAACTCAATCTGAAAAACTGAAATTCTATGAAAAAAAATCGAATATAAACCTCTTAAACCAAAAAGAAAATAATAATTTTGAAATGATAATGTTTAAAAAGATCAAATCTATAAAGAAGTCAAAGATATATGGAAAACTGAACCAGAGGAAACAGTAAAGTTACTCCCAAATAATTTTTAGATTAAAACATTTTTAAAAGTTTAATTTTTTCTTGATTTGTTTTTTGTTTGTTTTTTTGCTGCACCAATAATGGAATAAAAGATCTGAATGAAAAAGGAAATGCATCTTTCATTAATGAATTCTGTCCATTTTCCTTCTCTCTGTTATCAACATTTAAAAACTGCAGCGGCACAAAGATCCATAGAAACAGATCCACTTCTGACTCTAATGAAGGAACCCAGGAAGCTCATTTCAACCAGAGAATCTTTGGAGACTTTTCTGCATGTCAGGTTCTCTAAAGGAGGAAGTGGACAGCTGCCCTGCCTTTAAGCTGAGCACCAACTCTGTCATTTTTCCACTGATGCTTCTGGAGCTGGATCTCCAGCCTGGAGGAGGGCCACACCCATCCCCATGAACATGCTGGGAGTTGGGCAGGAGAAGCCTGTCTCTGCTTGTTGTCATACAGACTCACTAACCCACCTGGTAAACCATGACTTTAAAGTTGCGCCTCTTCAGCAGCTCTGCCTCGTTGGTTTCCAGCTTCTTGATCTGGCTCCCTTGCTTCTCCAGCGTAGCTCGGACGGTCTTCACGTTGATGCTGACCTTGCGAACCTTCTCCATCATCTTGTTGACGCTGTTGGATGTGGTGCTGTGGTTCTTGCTCAGCTTGGTCAGCTCGCCTTGGATGCTGGTCACCGTGCGCTCCATCTCCTGCTGTCTGGTCTCCAGCCCACTCTGGGTCTGCTGGATCTGGTCCACCGCTCCGATGATCTTGTCAAGCAAAGACAGAACCATCACCCCCGTTAACTTGTGTGTCTGAAGCCTGAGCCCCGTTCTGCTCCTGGTCGGGTTCCTCTGCGGTGTGCAGATCTTTCTTGGCGGCAGCCAGGGCGTTATCTTCTTCATCTGAAGGAGGCAGGTGGATCTCATCTTCTGAGATTTCTGTCAGGGATTGAGGCTCCATCAGGGCGCTCGAGGACTCCAGTACAACCATAGTTGCCATGCCGATGGATCAGAGGAGGTGAGACTGGGTCAAACTTTCAAACTATCTGAATCCTTTCCTTGTTCCTATTCCTCTCCTGCATGTATCTTTTGTTCTGCTCTTCTGAAGGCTCCCAGGATCAGACCAGTTTGGAGAAGAAGACGAGCAGAGCTGGATGTTGTGGCATCAAACTGCAGCCTTCAGGGGATTTTCTATCAGCCCCTTTTTCCACTGGACTCTCCCTTGTCCTCAGACTCCTCCCCAGGCTCTGCCTCTCACTGACTGACACACCCCCGGCCCGGTGCTGCTGACACGGCCGGGACAGAGTGCAGAGCTGCAGCAGTTCGCTCACTCGCTTGGATACAAGCTGGGACAGAGCCGAGGAGGAATGTTGGGCCACATCTGCTCTGGTTTCCTCTTCTTTCTTCATACCCTGCAGAGTTTCTTTGGTAAAGGCAAAGCAGGGCATGATTTATAACAGCCTGAAGCCCCAGGGAGAAAAACAGAGGAAATAAAGCCAACATTTACAGCAAGACATGTGGTAAAACGGGGCCTCATATGGCAGAGATGTTTGTTTATCCGTTTAAACTTAGAAACCAGGCTTGGTGTTCAGGATGCCTCAGAGAGAAAGCCTGAAAATCAGAAGAGAGAGAATAAGGCTCACATTAAACCACTTTAAACCTTTCCTCAGGATGAACGGCATCAATGCTGCTCACTGACGGTCAGAGACACATTCAGCTTCACACTCAGAAGGTCACATAAGGATTTATACGCTTTTAAAGAACCCATTGAAGCTCTGATGATGATGTCATAGCTTTGGAAGCCTCTGATTGGTTCCTTTTACCTCAGCGAGGTCCTCCTGTCCAGAGCTGGACCATGGACCATGCATAAAGAGTGGGCCGGTCCCTAAACGGCAGAACCTGCTGGTTCTTCCACACAAAGAAGGGTTCCAGCAGAACACAGTGAGCAGCAGCTGGAAGAACCAGCCTCCTTGATTCCAGAGGAGGGTAACTGGAATAAAACCCAATGACCACTGGTTTCCTCCTAGGTTCCAACATCAGGAACTCCACCAAATAGAAACTGTGCTGTTGGTGTTTGGGTGATGCTGAAGATTTCTGCACCTGCTTCAGTCTGTGCCATGAAGAATGGAGGCAGTGCTGAAGGCAGGAGGGACACGTCACCTAAGACAGCCAACTTTACTGTTTCACAATTTTTGTGGAACTTTATAAAATAATTATTCATATCTGATGATGATTTTCAAAATGAAATGTTTTCTAAATTTAATCCACATTATTTGGTTTAGAAATGGAAATTAACTCCATAGACTCGGGTTTATTTAATAGAGCTATAAATGTGTCGTAGAGACTGAAGATCCAACTGACATGAAAAAGGGGTCCCTATGTCCTGCAGCAGTCTAAGCCTATAGCAGCATAACTATGTAGCTCAGGATAACCTGAGCCACTCTAACTATAAGCTTTATCAAAAAGGAAAGTTTTAAGCCTAGCCTTAAAAGTAGACAGGGTGTCTGCCACACGGACTAAAACTGGTAGTTGGTTCCAAAGGAGAGGAGCCTGATAACTAAAAGATCTGCCTCCCATTCTACTTTTAGAAATTCTAGGAACCACTAGTAAACCTGCAGATTGAGAGTGAAGTGCTCTGTTAGGAACATAAGGAACAATCAGATCTCTGATATCAGATGGAGCTTGGCCATTTAAGGCTTTATATGTGAGAAGGAGGATTTTAAATTCTATTCTAGATTTAACAGGAAGCCAATGAAGAGAAGCCAGGATAGGAGAGATATGATCTCTCTTTTTCATTTTCATCAGAACTCTGGCTGCAGCATTTTGGATCAGCTGAAGGCTTTTAACTACGGTTTGTGGACTTCCTGATAGTAAAGAATTACAATAGTCCAGCCTTGAAGTAACAAATGCATGGACTAGTTTCTCAGCATCACCCCTGGACAGGAGATTTCACATTTTCTCCTAAATAACACCAAGATCTTTATTATCTGAGATCCATTTCATTCCATCCATCAGATCTTCATGGAGGCCACCATCAGGCTGATTTTACTCCAATGTTTGTCTGATGATTGTTTCCAGAAACATGAGACAAACTCCGCCTGGTTTTATATGTATCCTTCCGCTCGCGCGGATGGATCAGCTGACAGGCAGGGAGCGGCGCAGCATCAGCATCTCTGACGTCATTAGCTGCCAAGCAGGAGAAGAAACCTTCAGACACGAAGCTTCTTCAGGTGAGTCTATTTCACCCGTTTCTCTGTCAGAGCCTCTGAAGAGCAGGAGGAGCTGCCTGCCTCCTGCCGCCTCCTCTCCGCGGCTTTCGGACTGACTCTGGTTAAAAGGCCTTCCAAGCTCCGCGGACATCCTCCGCACCGACAGCCTCCCTCATCCTCACGGCTGTTTTTCACCGGGTCGCTGCGGAGGGACAGGCCGCCTGGCGTGATGCTGAGGAGGCGGAGCTGCAGGAGCAGCAGGAGCTGCAGGAGCAGCATCATGGCGACCTTGATGCTGAAGGGCATCTGCAGCAGAGGGGGGTGGAGGGTGGTTCTGGAAGCTGAATTAAAATCCTTCTTTAGCTCCAGTCAGGCCTCCTGATGCTCTGATGCAAACCGACCGGTGAATCCGGTTCTGGTGATCCGGTTCTGGCCCAGTTCTGGCCCATAAGCCTGTGTTTGTGTCATGATTTTCTTAAGGGATCTGACCCATATGCAGTAAACAACTCAGAGAACCAGGGTAAAAGTGTGAACAGGTTTATTGGCAAGGACAGCGGGGGTTGGATTCAGGAAACTGAGTGTACTGGTGAACCAGAACTGGAAGAGGGAAGTATCAGTGGTTAGTTCAGGATCCGTGGGAACTTTGAACGATGACTTTGAGAGACAGAGAAAACGGCTCACACGTTAGTGGGGAAAATTTTCTTCCTAGAATCCAGTTGGTGTGGGTTTATCCGGAGGTAGAGACTCAATGGAGGGCGGACAGGTATAGACTTGGTTAGACCCAGAGGAACTATTGAGCGGACTGTCACTTGGGAATCCAGGAGGTCTTGAACGGAAATTGTGGAGGTTACTCCCCTGCTCACTGTGAGACTCAAACAATCCTTCCAGGGGGAGAAGGCCAAACATCCAGCTTGCAGGAAGGCTTCCTGCCGAAAGGCAAGGACAAAAACAGGTTAGGCTCAGCTAAAGAAAAAAGACCCTGTTAGACTCAGCAAAACTCAGCTTGGCTAGAGTACCCAAAACTGGCAAACACTCTGGCGCCAAAGTAGTGACAGTCCATGGCTCAAATAGTCCTCAGTGAAGAGCCAACCAGCCGCATGTGTGTGGGAGGACCAACAAGAACAGGGCACCACGTGGTGGTGGAGGGAGAAAAAGTCAAAAACAACCCACACAAACTGGATTCCTAACAGTTTGGTTCTGCTGTGATCCAGACTCCTGGTGCCACCATGGGGGAGATGTTCAGGAGTGAGGAGATGACTCTGGCCCAGCTCTTCCTCCAGTCAGAGGCCGCCTACTGCTGCGTCAGCGAGCTAGGAGAACTGGGCATGGTCCAGTTCAGAGATGTGAGTTCTGACTGGTTCTGACTGGTTCTAATTTCTGAGAAATAATCCCATCAATAATCCATCCTTTCCTCCCGCAGCTGAATCCAGATGTCAACGTTTTCCAGCGGAAGTTTGTGAACGAAGTGAGAAGATGTGAGGAGATGGACAGGAAGCTGAGTGAGTAACGACCTCAGACTCACGGTACCAACACCAGAACCTTTCTACCTGCGAAACCGGGCCCAGCGCTCTGCTGCAGGTCCCTTTGAACCAATGCTCTTTGTTTCTGTTCTAGAAGCTCAAAGGTTGCTCTTAGATGGCTTCAGGCCGTCTGGGTTTGTGCTTCAGTTCAGTACAGAACCAGCAGAACTGGACCAGGGTTCAGACCATCACAACACTGGTTCTACTGGTCCAACTTCTGCTTTCCTGTCCAAACAGGGTTTGTTGAGAAGGAGATCAAGAAGGCCAGCATCCCGATGGTGGACACTGGAGAGAACCCAGAAGTCCCGTTTCCCAGGGACATGATCGACCTGGAGGTTAGCTCAAAACGTTCAATCTATGATGCGTGGATCTAGGTCCAGATGCTCAGCATGTTTCAGCTCTCAGAACTTCTGCTCCACAGGCCACCTTTGAGAAGCTGGAGAACGAGCTGAAGGAGATCAACACCAACCAGGAAGCTCTGAAGAAGAACTTCCTTGAGCTGACGGAGCTCAAGCACATCCTGCACAGAACGCAGCAGTTCTTCGATGAGGTCAGCTGAGCTAAGGCCGTCCTTGTCCTTCCTCCTGCAGGTCAGCCAGAGGTCACTAATGAAGGCCTGTTTTCCAGATGGAGGACCCCAACCTGCTGGAGGAGTCCTCCGCCCTGATGGAAGGCAGTGAGGGCGGCCGTGGGGCGCCGCTCAGACTCGGGTAAAGCAGACTCAGCATTCAGAGGAAGCTACAGCATTTAGAGGAAATTGGCAGCATTCAGAGGAAGCTGCAGCATTTAGAGGAAGCTGCAGCATTTAGAGGAAGCTGCAGCATTCAGAGGAAACTGCCAGCATTCAGAGGAAGCTGCAGCATTTAGAGGAAATTGGCAGCATTCAGAGGAAGCTGCAGCATTTAGAGGAAGCTGCAGCATTCAGAGGAAACTGCCAGGATTCAGAGGAAGCTGCAGCATTTAGAGGAAGCTGCAGCATTCAGAGGAAACTGCAGCATTCAGAGGAAACTGCCAGCATTCAGAGGAAGCTGCAGTATTTAGAGGAAGCTGCAGCATTCAGAGGAAGCTGCAGCATTCAGAGGAAGCTGCAGCATTCAGAGGAAACTGCCAGCATTCAGAGGAAGCTGCAGCATTTAGAGGAAGCTGCAGCATTCAGAGGAAACTGCCAGCATTCAGAGGAAGCTGCAGCATTTAGAGGAAGCTGGTAGCATTCAGAGGAAACTGGCAGCACTCAAAGTAAGCTGCAGCATTCAGAGGAAACTGGCAGCACTCAAAGGAAGCTGCAGCATTCAGAGGAAACTGGCAGCACTCAAAGGAAGCTGCAGCATTCAGAGGAAACTGGCAGAATTCAGAGGAAACTGCCAGCATTTAGAGGAAGCTGACAGCATTTAGAGGAAGCTGGCAGCATTTAGAAGAAGCTGACAGCATTCAGAGGAAACTGCCAGCATTCAGAGGACGCTGCAGCATTCAGAGGAAGCTGAAAACATTAAGAGGAAGCTGGCAGCATTCAGAGGAAGCTGGCAGCATTAAGAGGACCCTGGCAGTATTCAGAGGAAGCTGGCAGTATTCAGAGGAAGCTGGCAGCATTCAGAGGAAGCTGGAAGTATTCAGAGGAAGCTGGCAGCATTCAAAGGAAGCTGCAGCATTCAGAGGAAGCTGGCAGCATTAAGAGGAAGCTGGCAGCATTTAGAGGAAGCTGGCAGCATTAAGAGGAAACTGCAACATTCAGAGGAAGCTGGCAGCATTCAGAGGAAGCTGCAGCATTCAGAAGAAGCTGGCAGCATTAAGAGGAAGCTGGCAGCATTTAGAGGAAGCTGGCAGCATTCAGAGAAGGGGGGGCTAGCCTGCTGAAAATCCAACATGATATCTGATCAGGAAAACAGTTGGAGCCAAGATTTGCAGCCTGATTAGAGGTTCTTTGTAAAAAATGACTGTATTTTTTAATGCAGTGGTAAAACCACTGATTTGTTTTAGGAGACATGGAGGACATGATGGACAGAACAGAGAATTCCATGAAAAGCTAAGCTGGTTAGGTCCGTAAAACCAGGGCTGAGACCCCTTTGATCAGATGCTGATTTATGGAAGCTTCATTTAGAGATGTTGTCTGACCTCAGATGAATGTCATGACCTGCTTCTTAAAAACATGATCAGAAGAAGAAGAGCGATGATGGAGACGCGCTCCTACATACCAAGTTCTCTGTTCCTGCAGGTTTGTGGCCGGAGTGATCAGCAGAGAGAGGATTCCCACCTTCGAGCGGATGCTGTGGAGGGTGTGTCGTGGCAACGTCTTCCTGCGGAAGGCGGAGATTGAGGACCCTCTGGAGGACCCCACCACGGTCAGTAGAGAGCAGCTAGCTCAGCAAATAGCATAAACCAAGGTCCACATGATGAAGGTGAAGCCGCATTCCAACATCCTGACATCTTCTGCTTCCTACAGGGGGACCAGGTTCACAAGTCGGTGTTCATCATCTTCTTCCAGGGGGACCAGCTGAAGAACAGGGTGAAGAAGATTTGTGAGGGGTGGGTGTCACAGCAGTCAGCGTACCAGAATCCATCTGGGTCTGACAGGGAACCTAGACATCCATCTCCCTGGTAAACTGCAGAGAAGATCAGACAGAGGGGTTCATCCAGAAGGGAAAAATGAGCTCCAAGCATGTCTAGCTGCAAGGACACGGACTGATGTGTCAACAAGTCCAGTCTGCATGATGACTAGGATCCGCTGAAGGACATGTCGCTCTGCTCCCGGTGACGGGATGCTATGAGGACGTTCAACAAGCAACTTGGCTCATTCAACACCTAAACAGATTAGAGGCGCGTCTATAACACCCCTACAGATCTAGATATAAAAACACTAGATAAGATAAATGATCCCCCAAAACACACATGAGGGGCAAAGAAACGACAAGGAACCAGGAAACGGTGACTAAACAGAAGGAGAATATATGGCAAACAGAAACAATGGGAGCACTGATGATAGATGAGTTACAGGCGTAGACTGAAGAATCTAGAAGGGAGCTAGGAGAGGGCGACTGAAACAAAAGGGCAACCAATGTCAGTTAGGGACCGCAGAGCAATAACCAATGTCAGTTAGGGACCGTGGATTAATAACCAATGTCAGTTAGGGACGGTGGAGCAATAACCGATGTCAGTTAGGGACCGTGGAGCAATAACCAATGTCAGTTCGGGACCGTGGAGCAATAACCGATGTCGGTTAGGGACCCCAGAGCAATAACCAATGTCAGTTAGGGACCGTGGAGCAATAACCGATGTCGGTTAGGGACCCCAGAGCAATAACCGATGTCTCTTAGGGACCGTGGAGCAATAACTGATGTCAGTTAGGGACCGCGGAGCAATAACCGATGTCTCTTAGGGACCGTGGAGCAATAACTGATGTCAGTTAGGGACCGCGGAGCAATAACCGATGTCTCTCAGGGACCATGAAGCGATACCCAATGTCAGTTAGGGACCGTGGAGCAATACCCAATGTCAGTTAGGGACCGCGGAGCAATAACCGATGTCAGTTAGGGACCGTCGAACAATAACCAATGTCAGTTAGGGACCGCAGAGCAATAACCAATGTCAGTTAGGGACCGTGGATTAATAACCAATGTCAGTTAGGGACCGTGGAGCAATAACCGATGTCAGTTAGGGACCGTGGAGCAATAACCAATGTCAGTTCGGGACCGTGGAGCAATAACCGATGTCGGTTAGGGACCCCAGAGCAATAACCAATGTCAGTTAGGGACCGTGGAGCAATAACTGATGTCGGTTAGGGACCCCAGAGCAATAACCGATGTCTCTTAGGGACCGTGGAGCAATAACTGATGTCAGTTAGGGACCGCGGAGCAATAACCGATGTCTCTCAGGGACCATGAAGCGATACCCAATGTCAGTTAGGGACCGTGGAGCAATAACTGATGTCAGTTAGGGACCGCGGAGCAATAACCGATGTCTCTTAGGGACCGTGGAGCAATAACTGATGTCAGTTAGGGACCGCGGAGCAATAACCGATGTCTCTCAGGGACCATGAAGCGATACCCAATGTCAGTTAGGGACCGTGGAGCAATACCCGATGTCAGTTAGGGACCGCGGAGCAATAACCGATGTCAGTTAGGGACCGTTGAACAATAACCAATGTCAGTTAGGGACCGCGGAGCAATAACCAATGTCAGTTAGGGACCGTGGAGCAATACCCGATGTCAGTTAGGGACCGTCGAACAATAACCAATGTCAGTTTGGGACCGCGGAGCAATAACCGATGTCAGTTAGGGACCGTGGAGCAATAACCAATGTCAGTTAGGGACCGCAGAGCAATAACCAATGTCAGTTAGGGACCGTGGAGCAATACCCGATGTCAGTTAGGGACCGTCGAACAATAACCAATGTCAGTTTGGGACCGCGGAGCAATAACCAATGTCAGTTAGGGACCATGGAGCAATACCCGATGTCAGTTAGGGACCGTCGAACAATAACCAATGTCAGTTTGGGACCGTCGAACAATAACCAATGTCAGTTAGGGACCGCAGAGCAATAACCAATGTCAGTTAGGGACCATGGAGCAATACCCGATGTCAGTTAGGGACCGCAGAGCAATAACCAATGTCAGTTAGGGACCGCAGAGCAATAACCAATGTCAGTTAGGGACCGTGGAGCAATACCCGATGTCAGTTAGGGACCGTCGAACAATAACCAATGTCAGTTTGGGACCGTCGAACAATAACCAATGTCAGTTAGGGACCGCAGAGCAATAACCAATGTCAGTTAGGGACCGCAGAGCAATAACCAATGTCAGTTAGGGACCGTGGAGCAATACCCGATGTCAGTTAGGGACCGTCGAACAATAACCAATGTCAGTTTGGGACCGCGGAGCAATAACCGATGTCAGTTAGGGACCGTGGAGCAATAACCGACGTCAGTAAGGGACGGTGGAGCAATAATTAATGTCAGTTAGGGACCGTAGAGCTATAACCGACGTCAGTTAGGGACCGTGGAGCAATCACTGATGCTTTTCATTCCAGACTGGTTCTGTAAGCAGAGGGACCCACTTATAGACCCGCACTTATAGACCCGCTCAACACTCAGCTCCTGATCCATCTCTGTTCTCACTGTGATCCTGCTGCCAAATTCTCCTTCAGCTACTCTGTTTTCCTCCACCAACTGCTCCATCAGCAGGTTCTACTCCCCAGTCTGGTTCAGTTTATCTCTACCTTTTTTTCTCCAATCAAAGCCCTTTATTCCAGCTGCTAATCAGAGTGAGGCGTTGCCATGGGAGCGTGGTGGTAAATATATAACAGGTCTTAGAAGCTGGGTTCTGTTTTGTCTGTTCGCCAGGTTCCGTGCCTCCCTATACCCATGCCCAGAGACCCCCCAGGAGAGGAAAGAGATGCTGGCTGGAGTCAACAGCCGCATTGACGACCTCCAGATGGTAAGACCTCCTCTGTCACATCAATGTTTTTTTACTCATTGAGTTGGATCTAAAAGCAGAACTGATGGAACATCAGACTAAGTGGTAGGCTGATGGGTACTGATGGAGGTCAGTGCAGGTTCTACAGGAGAATTATAAGAAATTCTTTGTTTGGCTGCTATAAAAAATCTTTGTTCAGGTTTCCTTGGTTGGTTCCTGATGTGCTCATGAAGCCATCATGTGTAGCGACTGTTTCCTTCTCCGTGGCTAAATGATAAGAAGCAGCTAGATGAAGCTGGAGAGGTTGGTCCTATGCAGCATAGCCTTCCTGGTCACTGCTGACCTGATGGCTCTCCTCCTCCTCCTCCTCTGCAGGTTCTGAACCAAACAGAGGACCACCACCAGCGTGTGCTGCAGGCTGCCTCCAAGACAATACGGGTCTGGTTCGTCAAAGTGAGAAAGATGAAGGCCATCTATCACACCTTGAACCTCTGTAACATCGATGTCACTCAGAAGTGTCTGATTGCTGAGGTCTGGTGTCCCGTCTCAGACCTGGACTCCATCCAGTTTGCTCTGCGCAGAGGAACGGTGAGCTGTTTGTCCTAATATGTTAGGATCAATTTAGTTTGCTGCTTTATACACTGACTGATCTGGGTCCAAACAGAACCTGGTTTTGGTTCGTCAGACACCGCCCCCCACCTCCCCACCCCCGGAGCTGGGGCAGAATTTTTCTTAATAAAACACTCTTTGTTTAACAGGAGCGGAGCGGCTCTACAGTTCCATCAATCCTGAATAGGATGCAGACCAAGCAGACGCCGCCTACCTTCAACAAGACCAACAAGTTCACATCAGGCTTCCAAAACATTGTTGATGCCTATGGGATAGGAAACTACCGGGAGATAAATCCAGGTTCTATACAGAATCCCTGTTATTGTTCTGAGATGAGTGACACAACTGTTGGGGAAAATTCTTTATTTTTGAAGAACCCAGGACTGACTGATACTAGATGGTCCATTAATGGTTCCATTGATGGGTCCATGGATGGGTCCATGGATGGGTCCATTGGTTGGTCCATGGATGGGTCCATGGATGGGTCCATTGGTTGGTCCATGGATGGGTCCAAGGATGGGTCCATTGATAGGTCCATGGATTGGTCCATTGATAGGTCCATGGATGGGTCCATGGATGGGTCCATTGATGGGTCCATGGATGAGTCCATTGGTTGGTCCATGGATGGGTCCATTGATGGGTCCATTGATGGGTCCATTGATGGTTCCATTGATGGGTCCATTGGTTGGTCCATGGATGGGTCCATTGATGGGTCCATTGGTTGGTCCATGGATGGGTCCATTGATGGGTCCATTGATGCGTCCATTGGTTGGTCCATAGATGGGTCAATTGGTTGGTCCATGGATGGGTCCATTGATAGGTCCATGGATGGGTCCATTGGTTGGTCCATGGGTGGGTCCATGGATGGGTCCATTGATAGGTCCATGGAAGGGTCCATTGATGGGTCCATGGATGAGTCCATTGGTTGGTCCATGGATGGGTCCATTGATGGGTCCATTGATGGGTCCATTGGTTGGTCCATGGATGGGTCCATTGATGGGTCCATTGGTTGGTCCATGGATGGGTCCATTGATGGGTCCATTGATGCGTCCATTGGTTGGTCCATAGATGGGTCAATTGGTTGGTCCATGGATGGGTCCATGGATGAGTCCATTGGTTGGTCCATGGATGGGTCCATTGATGGGTCCATTGATGGGTCCATTGGTTGGTCCATGGATGGGTCCATGGATGGGTCCATTGATAGGTCCATGGAAGGGTCCATGGATGGGTCCATTGATAGGTCCATGGATGGGTCCATGGATGGGTCCATTGGTTGGTCCATGGGTGGGTCCATGGATGGGTCCATTGATAGGTCCATGGATGGGTCCATTGATGGATCCATTGATGGGTCCATTTATGGGTCTATTGATGGGTCCATTGATGGGTCCATTTATGGGTCTATTGATGGGTCCATTGATGGGTCCATTGATGGGTCCATGGATGGGATTGATACATACTTGGGTCCCTGTTTCAATTTTACCAGAAACATGAAGAAGTCTGGTTGATGAAACATCGCAGTTATAGTTCTCTGCTCTTTGGAATCAACCAGATTTTAGGATTAGCCCCACGGGATCCACTGACGACCAGGACCAAAGCAGAAACCTAAACAGAATAGTTTCTGTGAATCCTACTAAGCAGAGGCCAATCAAAGTTCAGGTTTAGGTTCCTAAACTTGATATTAATGTTTGCTTCTTTGGTCGCAGAATCAGTGGTGCTGCTTGAACGGGTCAAAACCATTTAAACTATTTCTGTCCTGGTCCAGCTCCATACACCATCATCACGTTCCCCTTCCTGTTCGCGGTGATGTTCGGTGATATGGGTCACGGACTGCTGATGACCTGCGCTGCCCTGTACCTGGTCCTCAGAGAGAGCCGGATCCTGGCCCAGAAGAGTGACAATGAGGTACCACGACCCAGAAGGCTGTTAGGTTCTTTAGAAGATGTTCTCTAAGCTGTGGTTTGGGTTTTCAGATGTTCAACATGGTGTTTGCTGGCCGCTACATCATCCTCTTGATGGGGATCTTCTCAGTCTACACCGGCATCATCTACAATGACTGCTTCTCCAAGTCTCTCAACATGTTTGGTTCTGGTTGGAGCGTCAGGCCCATGTTCAGCACCAAAGGAGCCAATTGGACGTAAGTCTCTTTAGTCTGGCTTTGATGTCATGTTTGTTCTGAAGGGTTAAGGTTCCTCTGTCCTAACAGGAGAAGCTGTTGTTTGTTTGTTCCAGGTTTGAGACGCTTGAAGGAAATGCTGTTCTCCAGTTAGATCCTGCTGTTCCTGGGGTCTTCAATGGGCCCTATCCTCTTGGTATCGACCCGGTAATCTATTAACTGAACTTATAGATCTCTGGTCTCTGTTTGGAAGAATGATCTGCATTATTTGATCACTGGTTAATTCCAAACCGTCCTCCAGGATTCTCTTTGTCACATCATTAAAGTCAGTAACCCTAAACAGGAGTTGGCTCCCATTACTGACCCCCTGTGTGGTCTCTGCAGATATGGAACGTGGCCACCAACAAGCTGACGTTCCTGAACTCCTTCAAGATGAAGATGTCTGTGATTCTGGGTGTCATTCACATGCTGTTCGGAGTCTCTCTGAGCCTCTTCAACCACCTGTAAGCTTTCCTCCGCACCCACAGGGGGCACTGTAGCAGGTTCTATTAGACTAACTACACTTTGACATCATCCATGTTCTAGACAGGGAGTCACCAACCTTTTTAAGGCTGAGCAGCTACTTCATGGCTACTGAGTCATAGGAATGGCTACCAATACTGACCTATGAACAGGTGGAGTCAGCATTCACCTAAACTACATTTGTATTCATCATTTTTCTTTAAATATTATTTTGAAATAGATTGTTAAATGCTCTTTATGATTAATATGGTGAAATGATCTATACATGATAAAAAAAATAAGAGCAACAGAATAAAGTAAAATTTCAAATTTAGCCCATTGGTGAGCTGTTCTGTTTTCAAAGGACCCTAGGGCCCTGAGGCGGCCCCTTTCTGCACCTCGTAGGTGACTCCTGATCTGTTTCACTCCTGATGTTAGAGATGAGGGAGGGAGGGATGGAAAAGATGAGCTCAGGAGGAAAAACATGGATGATCTGATGATCAGAGGAGTCGATAATGTCCAGGGTGTTTCAGCCTGATCTGAACAGAACATCAGTGGGCGGAGGCGGAGCTTACAAACCTGAGCTGGTTTCACAGGTTCTGTCTGCAGGAATGGGTCAAACTCTCAGCACACTACTGAGGGATGAAATTTCTGAAACTCTGAGGAACAGCATCCCTCTGCTCATAACCACGGGGATGCTAGCTCACCTGAAACGGATGGAGTCAGCTGTGAATGATGATGATGATGATGATGTTCTCCTACTTCTGCTCTGCAGCTACTTCAAGAAGCCGTTGAACATCTTCCTGGGCTTCATCCCAGAGATTGTCTTCATGTTCAGTCTGTTCGGCTACCTCATCCTGCTGGTGTTCTACAAGTGGACAGCCTACGATGCTCTGAGCTCCAAAGACGCCCCCAGCCTGCTCATCCACTTCATCAACATGTGTCTATTCAACTATAACGACCCCACCAACAAGCCGCTCTACAGGGGCCAGGTGCTTCTCCACCCAAACGATAACCCACAATAGATCTATGTCAGCTAGAATATCATGGAGAGGTTTATTTCTTTCACAGCTTACATGAAAAAGGAAGGAAGGAAGGAAGGAAGGAAGGAAGGAAGGAAGGAAGGAAGGAAGGAAGGAAGGAAGGAAGGAAGGAAGGAAGGAAGGAAGGAAGGAAGGAAGGAAGGAAGGAAGGATTATCTAGCTGATTTTGTTCTACAGTTAGGTTTCTACTTTAGAAACCTGGTTCCGGTCCGTTTCTGTGATAGCCTGTTGAGGGATCAAAGGTCAGAGCTCACAGGGAGCTGGAGTCACACGTAATGATGGAAAGTTGAGTGGAAGGAAGAAGTGCAGCAGCAGCCCTGAGATGATGTTCCAGAAACATCCATTGAAGGGCTCCATCTAACAGCAGCTTGTCTTCTGCAGATGGGGATCCAGGTTCTGCTGGTGCTGATCGCTCTCGCCTGCGTTCCCTGTATGCTGGTAGTGAAAACCATGGTGCTTCGTCGGCAGCACCTGTGGAAAAAGCACCTGGTAAGTAGAGTCCTCCTGAATGAACTTCCTGTCAGCCTCTATGTGATCGTCTGGTTGTGTAGAAAGTGGAAACCGGCTCCTGAGAAGACCTGGTGCCATCAGAACTGGACCATCTGGTCCCATTAGGCTGGAGATGAAGGTTCCAAAACATGTTGAGGAGGACAGTTAGAGAGGAAGCTCTCAGTCCAAACTCCTCCCAGACGGACCTCCTGCAGTCCTGGTCCATAAAAGAGGACAATGATGGCAGAAGGTTGATTTATTTCCAGCCGATCAGAACCTTTTAACTTTGGAACAAAACAGAGCAGTGGGAGATGTTCTGATCCAGGAGAAGCTTTATCCTGGTTCTGGTTATGTTGGAAACGTTCAGTGGATAGAAGTGGACTTTCCCCTCTGAAGTACAGTCCAGGAGTTCTGATACCACAGCTCTATCTGCTCTAAGGGAGGGACCACCAACCAGTCGTTTAAGATGGTTCAAAAAGAACCAGCTGAGCCCAAAGAGGTTCCTGATGAATCTGTGAGGGACCAAAACTCTTCTGGACTGAGGAGGATCCTGGAAGAACCTGGATCAGACCTGGAACAGCATGTTCCATCAATACCTTCACTGAGGCATGGGTCTATAAGCCAGAACCCATCTGCTTCCTGAACTCTTTGATGGCGGGACTTAGACCAGGTCTTTCATGGGCCGGAACGGTCCAGACTGCTGCTATCTGGGCTGGTTCCTCTGGATGTTTGGATGTCAAATAAAAGCTGCTGTTCAGTCAGAACCAAACAGAACACAGGAAGCAGATGAATCCGCCCAGCGACCACAGGTCCTCTCTGATTGGCTAAGAGGGTCTTTCTGGTTGGAAAAGGATCAATGAGTGACAGACTGGTTCTGGTTCTGATGGTGTTCCCAGTGATGTTCCTCCATGCACCCTAACCTTGTCTTCTCTTAAAGCGTGGTTCTGTTGCAGGCCCGTTTCTGTGTTCTGTAATGTGACATGAGGCCTGCTCTATGCCATACACGGATCTTGTGGCTTTTGTATCTAGTCGCAGAAGAGGGAACAACCCCCTGCAGAGAGTCTAGAGCAGTCTTTAGAGCAAACAGGGCCGTCCTCATCATGCACCGGACTCACCCAACAGGGCACGCAGAAGTTCGGAGGTGTCCGGGTGGGCAACGGGCCCACGGAGGACGAGGCTGGCATCATGGACCACGACCAGCTCTCTCAGCACTCGGACGAAGGAGACGAGGTGAGTTCTTCATCTGTACGCACAGCGCTAGCGGCGCCGCTTCTGTCTGCTGTCCTGCTTTATTGTCCAGGTTCTGATGGAAATGTTTGAAAGGAAACAGAAGTTCTGATCAGGGACGGGTCTTCTGGGCGCCACCAGGAGGAATGCTCCTCCCCTTCCTGTCTGTAGGACACACTTATTCATAAATAATAACTGAGGCTGCAGAGAAGATTTAGACGCTTCATCGAGCAGGAGGCCCTGCCCCACAGGGAGGGTTGACCTCAGCCTTTAGTGAATGAACCGGACCTCAGCCGGTCTGAAGAACAGCTGCTTAGCATTGGGCTGTGTCTGGAGTTCTGACGGGACCTTCTGGGTCGGATCCTGGAGGTTCTGCTCTAACCCTCTCCTCTCCTTTCTTTGCAGCACTCAGAAGAAGAACCGGTAAGAACTTCTGCAGTCTGTCAGCATGTGGAGCTGCTCCTCCCAGTCTGTCTGTGTAATGGGCATGATGGTGTTCCTCCAGAACCGGCCACCATGATGGCTGCTTCTGGATGTTTTCCGAGCAGGAAGTGCTGGTTCTGTGTCCCTCAGGGGCCGCTGTAAAGCAGAAAGCAGGCGGGGCATCCAGTCTTCCCCTCTTCCTCAGGAAAAGGCAGGTTTGGTTCCGGATGGAGAGAACAGACCGACCCGTTTGGTGCGTCGAGATACAATAGCTGTGTTCCTGCTGAGGAGAAGAAGAATGGCTGTAATGGAACCAAACCAGTCGTTTCAAAGGGACCGGGTCTGAACTGGGCCGCAGCAGAACTCTACCCCAGAATCTGGCTCAGGGTGAGGTGGTTGATCTGCCAGTGAGGACAATTTATGGAAGTTCCAGGAACTCAGTTCCCAGTAACAGTGGAAGCAAAGAGTGCCTCTTAGTGGCCCGGGGGAGTCTCCTGAGGTTAGGATGGGTTCTGACCCGCTACTGGTTCCGATAGAACCCAGCATGGATTAACAAAGGGAAGACAGACACAGTGCTGGACTCCAGGTGATGTTTCTGGATGTTCTGCCCCCTAGAGGTGAACCCAGAACAGAGCCACTTCCTGTCTCTGTTCTGGTTCTGATGTGTCGCTATGACGATGGTTGCTACACAGGCTGCTGGTCTGCTCTTTGTTCTGGGTGATGTTCTGATGTCTCCTGTCTCCAGTTTAACTTTGGAGACGTAGCTGTCCACCAGGCCATCCACACCATTGAGTACTGCCTGGGCTGCATCTCCAACACCGCCTCCTACCTGCGCCTCTGGGCCCTCAGCCTGGCCCACGCACGTGAGTCCCACCCAGTGACAGGCCCACAGTGCGCTGATGACTGACTGGAAGCACTGGGGTCTGACTCTGTCCTTCTGTCCACTGCAGAGCTGTCCGAGGTGCTGTGGTCCATGGTGATGCACCTGGGTCTGTCGTCCAGCAGCGGCGGTGGCTTCTTCGGTCTGTCCATCATCTTCTCTGCCTTCGCCGCTCTGACCGTCGCCATCCTACTCGTCATGGAGGGCCTTTCTGCTTTCCTGCACGCCTTGCGTCTGCACTGGTCAGTACACACGGGTGCATGGTTTGATGCAGGTTCTGATCCAATAAGGAAGGAATGCAGAAACACATCGGGTCTGATCAGACACTGTTTGTTCTACCACCTTTTGGACCTTGACTTAACCGCCGACCTGTTTATTAAATGCTCTCTGGATAAAATCTAAATGTTGAAAAGTTGAGATAGTGGCCAGGAGGAGGCTCAACGGTACCACCTGGTACCACTATCATCCAGAGTAGGTGGAGCCTCACAGCATACCAACCCTCTGATACACAGACATCACTGCTGGAGCAACAGGAGGACTGAGGGCATGACCCCATGAAGGATTAGCCCAGAATCGGGCCTGAAGTTCTACAGGAATGTATCTGTGCAAACAGACTGAGTCCATTTCACAGCCAGCAGCAGATACATGTCTCCCTCTCTGAGGGCGGCCCTCCTGAACTCTGGCATGAAGGCCTGAAATTCTCCACGGCTGGGAGACATTCCTGGTTACATGTTGGCGAAAAGTCGTTAAAATGTGTCGGATCAACCATCATCAGAACATTAGTGGTTGAATTAAAAAAAGTCTTCAAAACAAAATAAAACCCACAACTGGAACCAGGACAGCAGACCCAGGAGAGCTTCAGTCTAACTGGACCTGGTGCTGGTTCCCTGTGTAACCCTGTGTCTTCTGTCTTCGCTTTTCTGCAGGGTGGAGTTCCAGAACAAGTTCTACACCGGCCAGGGCTTCAAGTTTGTCCCCTTCTCCTTTGAGAGCATCCTGGAGGGACGCTTCGATGACTGATCCCGTCCTCAGCACTGTCCTCCTCATTGGCTCTCTGTCTCCCTCTAGTGGCTGTTAGTGAATCTTCGTTGTGCATGAAGTGTGGTGTCCCAGTGCTGCTGACCTCCTCCAGGTCCTCCGCCTGTCTGTTCCTGCTGAGAACATCTGTAGAGGATTGAGGGAAACATCTGGCCTGGACATTAACCGTCTCTAATCAGTGATGTGGATTATTAGTTATTGAATTCCCTCATCCCTCCATCCACAGGTCAAAGGTCATATTGAAGGAAATGTCTGGATCCCAAGGCAGCATGAAAAAATTAAGATAAAGAAACGCTGTTATTCACTTTATTCTCTTAAATTGATATGATGGTTCCTTCCTTCCTTCCTTCCTTCCTTCCTTCCTTCCTTCCTTCCTTCCTTCCTTCCTTCCTTCCTTCCTTCCTTCCTTCCTTCCTTCCTTCCTTCCTTCCTTCTCCATCTGAACTTGAGAACCAGGTTTTGTGGTCACTACCCTGAGTTTCTACCTCTACAGAGAGTCCTGTAATCCAGTCCCAGCTGAAGAGCAGCAGATTAGAGAGAAATCAATAAAACATTTTGTTTCAAATCACTTTTGTTTGCCTGAATTCTGGGTCCTACTTTCTGAGCCTTGACAGAATAATCTGGCCAAAATATGGACCCATGGGCAGATGGGCAGTGGCGTGAAGGCCTTGAGCTTGGTATAGATCAACTACAAGCAGATTCTGCTCTGCTCTGGATTCTCCCTTTTTTTAATTTTTTTTTAAATTTTCTTTAATTGTTGAGCATTTTGAACATTATCAACAATATCACGTGACCTGTACATACATGATGAGATCAAGTCTTACAGGCTTAATTCAATTAAATTCAGTTTATTTCTAAAGCAGCAATTCACAACACCTGTCATCTCTGGTCACTTTCCAGTTCACCAGGTCATCCAGTCAGACTGATTAAAAGTTTTCTATCTAAGGAAAACCAGCTGATTACATCGACTCATTGACTCTTCAGCAATCCCTCACACTAAGCATGCTTGTAGCGACAGTGGAGAGAAAAAACTCCCTTTGAACAGGAAGAAACCTCCAGCAGAACCAGGCTCAGTGTGAGCGGCCATCTGCTGAGGCCGACTGGGGTTCAAGGAGACAGAAGCAGACATAGAAAAAGAAGCATAGATACAAAAGGCAACTGTCAACCAGCTCCACAGGCGACCCCGTCCAGGAAACACACAGCCAGGCAGACAAGCTCCGAGCCAGCTCCCATGTCAGAGGATGAAGAGAGCACATCCAGTTAGTCACAGTCAGAGAAACAGGACTACACTGAAAAACAGGCTCCTCTTCTTTCAAAGGTCCAATTTGTTAAAGCAACAAGTGGAAGTAGAGCCGGTTAACACCTCCTAAAGGCCACTGGCAGTACTGCACCCAGCCTCTCTGTTCTGGTTCTGCTACCAGACTACTTTGGACCAGCAGATTGAGAAGCCATCAGGAACAAGAAAACATTTAATGTCTGATCGGGTGAAGGTCAGATCAGTTTGGTTAAAATTAAAGATTTGGTTAAATTAAAGATTGAACTAACAGATTCTGCAGAGAATGAAGCAGAATGATGAAAAAGGGGTCCCTATGTCCTCAAGCAGTCTAAGCCTATAGCAGCATAACTATAGAGATAACTCAGGATAACCTGAGCCACTCTAACTATAAGCTTTATCAAAAAGGAAAGTTTTAAGCCTACTTAAGCTTAAGCCACACATATAATCATAAGACAGCAATAAAAAAGTAAAATAAAAAAATATAAATTTGTCAGATTTGTCATACATCAAACAGAGAAAAACCAAGGGGCGTTAGTTCAAAAACTTATAGGCGTCCAGTGGATGTAATCCATGCTTGTTTTTATCTGTTTAAGGTTCTGAAGCTTTTTTTCTATTAGAAGGTTTTTAAAAGTCGAAATGTCAAGTTTTCTATCCTGTATTTACAGGAATGGATGAAGATCAGCAGGATGTTAATAATGAGGTCAGTTCTTCTGCCTCCGATATTATTCTAAATATTCTATCCGCTCTTTTTAAGGGAAGATGTAGGAAGAGCTAAGATCCAGTTTCTCTAAAATGTCACCCTCCAAGGTTTTTTTTTCCTTTTTTCTTTTTCTTTGTTTTATTTTGAAAGTCTGAAGCGGATACGCCGTGTTTCGCCTTCCGGTGACGTCACTGTGAGTCTCGTAGTTTTCGGAGTTTTCGGAGAAAAAACTGCCCAGAAAACCCTACTGGGTCAGAACCTGGAGCCGCTCGGAACCAACTGAGTCCGGTTCGGTTCGGTTTGGCTGAGCTGGAGACCAGAACCAGGTGAGTTCTTTGTTTCGAACCTTCAGAAGCTGCTTGTGGTTCTGCTGGGAACGGGCTGAGGTCCAAAACTTCAGCAGAACCTGAGGCTGCGGTTCGGTCCATGTTGGACCTCAGAACCCTGCAGAACCTGAAGCTGTGGTTCGGTCCATGTTGGACTTCAGAAGTTCAGCAGAACCTGAAGCTGTGGTTCGGTCCATGTTGGACCTCAGAAGTTCAGCAGAATCTGAAGCTGCGGTTCGGTCCATGTTGGACCTCAGAAGTTCAGCAGAACCTGAAGCTGCGGTTCGGTCCATGTTGGACCTCAGAAGTTCAGCAGAATCTGAAGCTGCGGTTCGGTCCATGTTGGACCTCAGAAGTTCAGCAGAATCTGAAGCTGCGGTTCGGTCCATGTTGGACCTCAGAAGTTCAGCAGAATCTGAAGCTGCGGTTCGGTCCATGTTGGACCTCAGAAGTTCAGCAGAACCTGAAGCTGCGGTTCGGTCCATGTTGGACCTCAGAAGTTCAGCAGAACCTGAAGCTGCGGTTCGGTCCATGTTGGACCTCAGAACTTTAGCAGAACCTGAAGCTGTGGTTCGGTCCATGTTGGACCTCAGAACTTTAGAAGAACCTGAAGCTGTGGTTCGGTCCATGTTGGACCTCAGAACTTTAGCAGAACCTGAAGCTGCGGTTCGGTCCATGTTGGACCTCAGAAGTTCAGCAGAACCTGAAGCTGCGGTTCGGTCCATGTTGGACCTCAGAAGTTCAGCAGAACCTGAAGCTGCGGTTCGGTCCATGTTGGACCTCAGAACTTTAGCAGAACCTGAAGCTGTGGTTCGGTCCATGTTGGACCTCAGAACTTTAGAAGAACCTGAAGCTGCGGTTCGGTCCATGTTGGACCTCAGAACTTTAGAAGAACCTGAAGCTGTGGTTCGGTCCATGTTGGACCTCAGAACTTTAGCAGAACCTGAAGCTGCGGTTCGGTCCATGTTGGACCTCAGAACTTTAGAAGAACCTGAAGCTGCGGTTCGGTCCATGTTGGACCTCAGAAGTTCAGCAGAACCTGAAGCTGTGGTTCGGTCCATGTTGGACCTCAGAACTTTAGCAAAACCTGAAGCTGTGGTTCGGTCCATGTTGGACCTCAGAAGTTCAGCAGAACCTGAAGCTGTGGTTCGGTCCATGTTGGACCTCAGAAGTTCAGCAGAACCTGAAGCTGCGGTTCGGTCCATGTTGGACCTCAGAACTTTAGCAAAACCTGAAGCTGTGGTTCGGTCCATGTTGGACCTCAGAAGTTCAGCAGAACCTGAAGCTGTGGTTCGGTCCATGTTGGACCTCAGAACTTTAGCAGAACCTGAAGCTGCGGTTCGGTCCATGTTGGACCTCAGAACTTTAGCAGAACCTGAAGCTGTGGTTCGGTCCATGTTGGACCTCAGAAGTTCAGCAGAACCTGAAGCTGTGGTTCGGTCCATGTTGGACCTCAGAACTTTAGCAGAACCTGAAGCTGTGGTTCGGTCCATGTTGGACCTCAGAACTTTAGCAGAACCTGAAGCTGTGGTTCGGTCCATGTTGGACCTCAGAAGTTCAGCAGAACCTGAAGCTGTGGTTCGGTCCATGTTGGACCTCAGAACTTTAGCAGAACCTGAAGCTGTGGTTCGGTCCATGTTGGACCTCAGAAGTTCAGCAGAACCTGAAGCTGCGGTTCGGTCCATGTTGGACCTCAGAAGTTCAGCAGAATCTGAAGCTGCGGTTCGGTCCATGTTGGACCTCAGAAGTTCAGCAGAACCTGAAGCTGCGGTTCGGTCCATGTTGGACCTCAGAACTTTAGCAGAACCTGAAGCTGCGGTTCGGTCCATGTTGGACCTCAGAACTTTAGCAGAACCTGAAGCTGCGGTTCGGTCCATGTTGGACCTCAGAACTTTAGCAGAACCTGAAGCTGCGGTTCGGTCCATGTTGGACCTCAGAAGTTCAGCAGAACCTGAAGCTGCGGTTCGGTACATGTTGGACCTCAGAACTTTAGCAGAACCTGAAGCTGCGGTTCGGTCCATGTTGGACCTCAGAACTTTAGCAGAACCTGAAGCTGCGGTTCGGTCCATGTTGGACCTCAGAACTTTAGCAGAACCTGAAGCTGCGGTTCGGTCCATGTTGGACCTCAGAACTTTAGCAGAACCTGAAGCTGTGGTTCGGTCCATGTTGGACCTCAGAACTTTAGCAGAACCTGAAGCTGCGGTTCGGTCCATGTTGGACCTCAGAACCCAGCAGAACCTGAAGCTGCGGTTCGGTCCATGTTGGACTTCAGCAGATGTTTGGGTCTAGCTGTCCAGGACATGGGCCATGGACGAAGCGGTTCTGACTGACGGCTGTGTCCTCTGCAGGCTCCTCTGTGATGGAATGATGTCAGCGCAGGGTGGGGCTGGTTCCGACCCACTGGCCGGCCAGGATGCACAGGAGGTTCTGCTTCCTGTTCCTTCTGACCTTCTGCTCCCTCCTCGTCCTGCTCATCCCAGCCCTCCAGTCTCCAGAACATCATCTGGACCCGCCTCAGCCACGACCCCAGAACCGGTCCGCCAGGCCGCCTCACCGCGGCACTTCTGGGGAAACGGACCAAGGAGCGACTGTTAGAACCCAACCGCTGGGTCTGCGGCCCGGTGACAGGCTGGACCTGAAGGACATCTTCATCGCCGTGAAGACCACCAGGAAGTACCACCGGTCCAGACTGGAGCTGCTGATCCAGACATGGGTGTCCCAGGCCAAGGAGCAGGTGAGGGCCCATCAGGCTGGACCGGGAGGTTCTGGACCAACTGGGAGGTTCTGGACCGACTGGGATGATCTAAACTCAGGTGTGGGCTGAGCGAGCAGCTCTGGGTCCTGGTTCTGACCCAGGGTCTGCTGGATCTCAGGTCCAGGTCTGTTGCTGTAGAATTAGAACTGAACCAGAACCTTTAAACCTGTAGAATCAGAAGCATCCAGCCGGTTCGATTTAATCATCTCTCCATCCACAGTCAGACCCCCCCCCCCCCCCCCCCCCCCCTCCTCGTCTGGACCTTGTTCTGTCAGCCCACCTGTGATTGGCTACCTTGAGGAAGTCCCGCCTCTTCAGGCTGCTCCCTCTTTCTTACTAGCAAAGCAACTTCAGAGTAATCGCTGCAAGCAGAGTCCTCATATGGGGGTTCCGCCATTTTAGATAAGTGTCGTTTAGTGGATCAAAAAGCAGTGGACTCAAAATTTCCCACAATGCACCTTGAAAAGTAGTGATTATTTATTAGATAAGCAGACAAATCCCAGCATTCTGGGATTTGTTGAAAGAACCAAGATGACGGAAGTCATGTGACCAATGGAGCAAAAAGCAGTGATCATCTGTCTGAACGATCAGTTAACTGAGTTCACCATAAAGTTCACTATATAGTCATAGATCATGGTAAATTGTTCTGGATGAAAACTGGATTCTGATTGGCTGTAGGGTGCCCATTAAAGCTATAGAGGAGGATCTTTCATTTCCGGGTGGATCATCTCAATCAGTGGTCCTCCTAACTGTCAATCATTCTGGTGATCTGTTCCCTTAAATCCGTCCTACGTGCTCTTCATGTTAGCTATCTTTTTCTTTCAGGCGTATATCTGTGGTGAGCTACGGTTTCAGACAGTCATTGAAGCTCACCTTTCTCACCGCGGTTCTTTGAAAATGGCCGAGAGTCGGAAGATAAAAAGTGTCTATGAGACACTGAGCCTGGTTCTCCTGGAGGTTTGTTCCTGTTAAAAGGGAGTTTTTCCTCTCCACTGTCGCTACGAGCATGCTTAGTGTGAGGGATTGCTGAAGAGTCAATGAATCGATGCAATCAGCTGGTTTTCCTTAGATACAAAACTTTGAATCAATCTGACTGGATGATCTGGTGAACTGGAAAGTGATGTGAATTTGGGCTATAGAAATAAACTGAATTGAATTGGATTGGAGTCTATGAAGTGCTTGAAAAGAAAAGAAAAACCTCAGAAGAGGCAGATATTTCCCAGAATGCTTTGCACAGAGAGCTCTCCTCGCAAAGCATTATGGGATTTACTGTCACAGCGGCTAAAACAAAGATGGCGCAGGCACCGCACGGTGGAGGAGGAGTTACGTGATCAACGGAGCAAAAAGCAGCGATCATTTGTCTGAACAGTCAGTGAACTGAGTTCACTATAAAGTTCACTATATAGTCCCCGCTCTATAGTGATGGAGGGATTTAGGGGTTAGAGCGGACGGTCGGACACAGTGAGCTGCTATGAGAACAGCAACTTCTAAACAGAGCGTGCACGAGGAGAATTGGGCTCGTGCACGCTCTCGCACGCGTTAAATAGGCGTTCCCTTTCGGAGCGGGTACAGGGTTGGGCATGTGCATTTTTTTAAAGTAGAGAGGGGGTGGGGTCTTCTCAAAAATTGGTGAAAAACTTGTACTAGACCTTTAAGCAAGGTCAGAGGTCTATGGGGCCAAAATTGTTGCTTTATTATTTGCAAGCATGATCAACCTGCGCCGTCAATCCCAGCACATCCGCGCGGTTCATTTTAAGTCTGGACGCTGAGGGTAAACATGCTGTGGCTCTGACTGCAGCGCTAAGAGGGACTCCTGCGGAAGCAGGAGAACGGGGTTGGGACGAGGAGGCGCCCCACGGCAGCACCTGCAGCTGGAGGACAAGAGTAGGAACGATACGTGCTTTCATGTAAGAGTCTCCAAAAGCCGCCAGTGACACCAGAAAAGTCGCTAGATTTGTCACTTTTTTTGAAAGAGTCACTGGAGGGGTCTGAAAAGTGGTTAATATAGCAACGAAGTCGCTGAGTTGGCAACACTGTGCGTAGTGGCCGTTGAATTGAACTCGGCCCTGCTGCAGTAATGTCACGTACAGTACAATACCGCCACCTGGTGGTATGTGGGTGTAGGTGCAGCAAGTTGTGCTGAAATCCCACAGCAGGAAGAGGCAGCCTGTGAGCCTGCACTCAGGGCAGCAAACCCAGATATTACAGATACAAATCCTCTCTAGGCATTTGCAGAACTTACACGGCAGAAGAGTAGCAAAAATTAGGTGTGTAAAGAGAGCCAACCGAGAAACCGCTGGACTTGTAACCAATGATTTGTCTGCATTTCTAGATCTTAAACCGGAAATACTTCAGACATAAGTCTCTCTGTGTTTGTTTACAAATTGATCTACAGATTTGTAAATCTAAATACAGATTTTTTTTTTTATACATTTGCATACCGGATTACGCAGACAGTAGTTTTACACATTTGCAGATTGTTTTACAGACACACAAATCTCCTCACACATTTAGTTTCATTTACACATTTTCAAATCCCACTGCACACACGCCAATAGAGATACAGATACACAACTCTCCACACACATTTGCAAATAAATAAGCATCAGTTTTGGCCCCATAGAGGTCACCTATAGATCAGTTCCGGTTGAATAGCCTGATAGCTTATGCTAGCTCAAACGTTAGATGGAAACAGGAAGACAGTTGACGGTGGTTTCCTTGGCAACAGATCACAACTTGAGAGGCGGGATTTCCTGAAAAGTAGCCAATCACCGGCGGGTTGCTAGGTGACGCCTTCAAAGGAGCGAGCTGACCTCCGTCCGCAGGTGGAAGGAGGCGGCGTCCAGCTGTGATATTCTGTTCCCCGTGTGTCACGTTAGACACCGGTGTCCAGAACCCTTCCTGGTTCTGATGGAACCTGTTCTGGTTCTGGAACCACCGCTCCAGTCTCACGTGGTCATAATGTTTAACTCACGCTGACCTTTATGGTTCTGATCCGAACGGCGAAGCTGCTCTGTCCATCTCTTTCAGACCTTCATCTTCACCGACGGGGAGGACCAGGAGCTGCAGGGGAGAACAGGTGAGCACAGCAGGAGCACATTCTGACCGAGGCTGCCTCGGTACCGGTTCTGATCCCGGTTCTGTCCTTTGTCTCAGGAACCAACATCATCAACACCAACTGCTCGGCGGCTCACAGCCGCCAGGCGCTGTGCTGCAAGATGTCTGTGGAGTACGACCGCTTCATCGAATCCCACAAGAAGTGAGTCCAGGGTTCTGGCCCGGCCCGGAAACGGACGACTTTCCCCCTTCTGCTGGTACTGATGGGTTCTGTGTCCGTAGGTGGTTCTGCCACGTGGACGATGACAACTACGTGATCCTGCCCGGCCTGCGGCGCCTGCTGTCCTCCTACCACCACAGCCAGGATGTCTACCTGGGCCGGCCCAGTCTGGACCACCCCATCCAGGCCGCAGACCGGGTCACAGGGGACGGAAAGGTGGGTCTGATGGAGGTTCTGCTCAGATCAGACCCGTTTACCTGTGGCTGTGATGTCATTTCCTGTCCCCCCGCCTTCTCAGGTGTCTGTGAAGTTCTGGTTCGCCACCGGTGGAGCCGGGTTCTGCATCAGCCGAGGTCTGGCTCTGAAGATGAGCCCGTGGGCCAGGTGAGAGTTCAGGGAGGTTCTGATGATGGCTCTGATCACTGAGGTCGGTTCAGATGTGGAACCATTGGACCCGCTCTGCTGATTCTGACCCGCTGAATGTCCTGGTGGAACCTGGTTCTGATGAGAACCGGACCTTCTGTGGGCAATGAGGCTGATGGATCAGAGCCGCGGTCCAAACGTCTGCCTGTGGTTTCAGTTTGGCCGAGGTGTCAAGTAACAATTACAAATACTTTGTTACTGTACTTAAGTACACATTTTAGGTATCTATACTTTACTCCATTACTTATTTTTCTTCCTACTTCTGACTTCTACTCATTACACTTTCACACAAGTATCTGTACTTTCTATTCCTTACAATTTAAAACAAACGTTGGCTTCGGTTTGATGCAGAGGTCACGGATTCGCGGACGGCGGTCTGGATCCACCTGCATGCTAATCCGTACCCAACCTGATTTAAAACATTTATAAATTACTGCATGTTGTCTGAATGTCACTTGCGCCGCTTCTCCTGTTAACCTGAAATCCCACATCCTCCGTCTCCGCCCCGCCACTAAGCGCTCCAGACCTGAGCAAAGCAAAGCCTACAGCCTCCGCTGTTCCTCCCGTATCGCTGCGATCCGACTTCCTCGGAGCTCGAGGAAAGCATGCGCCATATTATCATTAAATTCATAGGAGCAAAACATGCAGAAATGAACGCTTAGTTTAATATGACATATTAAAAAAAAAAACATCAGCATCCAGCAGATGTGTGGTTTCTGATGGAGATGAGAAATCTGCTTCCTGGTCTGTTGAAGGAC